CTCCCGGACCCAGAGCTACGGGCCATCACAGTGCACCCCAGTTCAAGCCTTGGGAGACCCCCTGCTAATCTCATCCTGCTGGGCCAGCCACCTCTATAGGCACGTTCAGTAGCATGTGCGGGGAACAGGTAGGGGGAGGGGTCATGAGAAGGGAGTAAAAGTGGAAGGCCCCTGTCGACGATGGACACCCTTCACTCTCCTGTCCAGGCTGTTCTCCATCTGCGGGCTCCAGAGAGCATCCCTTCCTGCGTTCCCGCACTAGGATAGAGGACAGACAGGCCTCCTCTCCAGAGCACAGGTGTTATGTCCCGTGACAGCTATACCCACCAAGCGGCTCAGGAGAGGGTGAGGGGGCCATTCAAATACAGCACTCCGTGCACCAGCACCCAATTGACACCCGTTGTCCTGGCAAAATCAATAGCCCGTCTTTTCAAGCTCAGAAGCATCCCAAATTAGGTAAAGAGCTCTCTCAGCAGTCCTTTCTGCAAAGAGTCAGACTGTGCACATTTCCTCCCTGTGGATTAACTGTGTCCCTGCTACTGGGCCGCACCCTGGCAGTGCGAGCGAGCGGAGCCATGGACTGGGCACACGCTCGCAGGTGTGCATGCGCTTTCTTTGCAAAACGGGGCGGTGGGCTAGATCTGGCCGTTGGATCATGGTTTGTAGGCCCCCGAATTGTGTGACCAACAGGGAAACACCGTGAACCTCCCCTGGGCCACACAGCAAGGCAGTCAGTGACAGGGCAGTTTCTTCCAACGGAGGTTTCCCATTGCACCTGCTGCCTCCCTCCCGTGGGGGCTTCTCCGGGAGGGGGCTTCTCTGGGAGGCTGAGCAGCCTGGAGTGGCGCTGTAACCAGGCTCCCCTGTGCCGCAGCGGCCGGAGAGGACTGCATCACCGTTTGTCGCGGCACCTTCGCCTGGTCCCCGGAGAGCCCGCCCTGCCTCCAGAGGTACTCTGGGCCTCCCTGAGAACCTGCTTTGCATTTACATAGGCTTCCACCTAGGGGCGGGCTCCCGGGTCTGGGGCTCCACCCAGGAGGTTCCTGGGAGCCAGCCTGGTGCAGTCTGGGGAAAGGAAAAGTTGTGGTGCAGAGGAGGATAGGTGAGCTTCCTCCACTTGAGGGGTGGGGGTGGGGGGCATCCCTTTGCTCCCCGATGTGCCCCAAAGGCCTGTGGACAGCCCTCAGGCCCAGGGCTGACCCCCCTCCCACCCCAGGCCAACTCTCAGCCAACAGCAGACAGGTTTGTCAAGATTTGAACAATACCAG